ACACCCCCACCCCCACCCCCAGTATAAAGTAAACAAATCTAGAAACTGTAGCTCAGTAGTTATGCTTTTCAGTCTCTACAGGCAAATGATTTGGGGGGGGGTGTTAGCTTTTTCTTTCTTTACAAAACAAGGAGCTCTACATTTTGTTTCGCAAATGTACTGGAATAAACAGGAAAGAGCTTCTTTTCAAAATGAGAAGTTGTTTTGTTTAGTTTTCCTTAAAAAATAGGCTACTTGGAATATATTAGTTACGGTAAACAGCTGGGATGTTGTACACCATGCTTTTTGATGTGCTCTTTCTCACATTTTTATCACTTAAAAAAAAAAAAAAAAAAAAGCATTTGCATTTGCTTTAAATTCATTGCATACTACTACTTCTGCTGACATTCTGAGCAAGTGTTGAATATAGGACATTTGCTTGTTTTAAACACAAGAACATGACCAGGCTGATTTCCATTCACAATGCAACCAACAAAAAGGGAGAATTGATTACTTCATGTCTAGGGCACCTAAGCCCAAGATATATTCATGTGTCATGTTTTAAAACGTCATCTGTGGTATTCTTCTTCCTTGCAAAAATGATAGTGGTGATAGCTGCATAATTTCTTTGTCTCAAGACAACAACCACTTTCAAGTTAAATTAATAATTAATACATTAATTGGAAAGCGTCTCAGCTTTTAGTAAGGTTAGATACTACATTGAGCTCATCCTAGCTACTGAAAGCAAAATGTTTGCTTAAAGCAGTAGAGGGACACCCATGTGTGTTACTGCAATGCTTGTCGCATACATCCTCATGAAAATATTTCATGTAGAAGAGATTCAAAAGTGATTCACTGTCTGACTTCTCTGTTCTACTGTAAGACTCATTACCTAAGGCTTGCATTCCATTCTGACAATTCCCCTGACCTGGCACAGAAAACAGGTGTCACCAAATTTAAGTGGAGGTGTATTCTCCCTTGGTGTGACCTTGATGATAAATAATAGATTTAAACAACAGCAATGACCTGAAGACATTTCACCTCTTCAGCCTTATACACGCAGAGACACACCGCAGATGCACTAGCGGTACTGCGTTTCATGAGCTTTAGCCTATTTGCTCTGTACAATTTCCTAAAATAATAGCATCTGAAATATATTGTGACATGCTTCCTCTCCTACCCCTTCTCTCTGCCCAAAATTATGGAGATTAGCATTCTCAGAAGAGCCCTCCTTTCCAAATATTCCAAAGAATCTCCACCAGCAATTGTGCAGTGATGCATACAACTGTGTGCCCTCAATGTCTGTTCCCCTTCCTCCTTTCCTCCAGCCCACCATCTTATGCATCCTACCATCTCAGAAATTACTCTGGTTTTATGGAGGGATACAACATACTATTTTCTTTTTACAAGATTTTTTTTTCTCCACAGCCAGTCAGGATATCATTCTTTAATACAGACTGTTGTCACATAATTTGCCTCAGATGTGCTGATTCCTTTTTCCCTGTAATCATCATCATCATCAGCAGCACTGATTATCTTTCATTCATAACTATTTTTGGCTTAGAGCTACAGGTGAAATCTATTCCACAGCAAGAGATACATAGCTTCACAGGGGCATCACATGATTGCCCACCAAACAAAAAGGATTCTGAAGAAAAGATAGACACCAGCTTGGAAAGCTGTGGAACCACCTTTGTTGCAGATGTTGGTTGGTTGGGGTGGTGTGGTTTTTTTTTTTTTCTTCTTCTTCTTCAAAGAACAAGCTAGACTACCATGATTAAGTTATACTTGAAATTGATCTCAAGCTGAAACAGATCTCAAGCTCTGCTTTCAGGCTTTACAATACAGCTATTTTTTCTTTTCTTTGGAAATACTGATATGTGATCTTCTAATGGCTCTCAAAGGGATAAAATGGTGTGGGATTTTGTTTTGTTTTTTTTAGTTGTGGGGTTTTTTTTAAAAAAAAAAAACCAACCTGAACAAGTCAGTTAGGATGACCAGGAACTAAGCAAAGATTTTTAACTTAGTATTATTTTAGTCAGCTAGCAATACCACCTTGTAGTGGTATTTACCAATAGTGACCTTGTCCAAAGTGAGATCACAGCTTGTGGCACAACGGAGTACAGCTGGAAAGCAGAACAGGAGAGCAGAAGAAAACTGAGTACTGGTAACCACTGAACCATTGCTACCTGCTCACTCCCCTATTTAAATGCCTTCAGAATTGTATGTATCTATCAAAGCCCAGTTTCTGTTATTTCTTGTCATGTAATGTCTGCCTAGAGAGTATTTCCAAGCTACCAGTCAGGGTAGGCCTACTACAAGAGAACCACATTCACAGTAATCAACTGTCACATAAACCATAAAAATTTTCTTGATGTAGCTTCTCTAAGTACTTAAGAGATTTAACAGAGGGGATTGTTTGACATTTATCTGTATTACCCACTGGGAGAAATAATACCAAAAAATCTGTGAAGGTAAAAATCAGAAGCTATATTTAGCCTCCAGCCTAAAACTTCTTGTCCGCAAGCTAGGAGGGCAGCCTAATAGAGGCAAGAAATTAATCCAAATCCCATAGACATTTGGATTCCTTAACTACAGAAACATTCTTCCACATCCTGTAGCTGCTTGCCTGCTCACAGTACTTTCTGCAACAAAGCAGACATGGTCTGGGCTGCAGTCCCCCACAATCACTTGATTTTTGCACTGTTAATGAAGCACGGGGGGAAAAAAAAGGACCTATCAAGCACGCTTTCAGAATGCACTTTCCCCCACCAGGGTGGAACCGAGTTTGGATCCTCTCTGTTCAGAGCTGGGATGCTATTTTCTGAGCTGAGAACCCACCACCCTTCGGCATGCTAAGAAGGAATCAGACATACTAGGGGAGCAGGTACAAGGAGTAAATTGGCATTAGATCCTTAGCCTGAATCTGTTGGTGCTGCTTTGTGGACTCAGACTTCTGGCTTGATGTGCTTGCATTGCAACGCTGTGCTATGAAGGCAGGCACGTATAAACCAGTTTGTGAAATCAGTTCTGTCACTTGTAACTTCTGGTGCCCGCTATGCACCCCGCTCTGCCCACACCTGGGCCAAGGAGGGTCCTGTTAGGCGTCCAGGCCCTAAGATACACGTGTGTGATTTAAGCTTATCTGTGGGCAATGGCTCATAATTTACACACTGCCCAGGCACTCCATTTCTGACATGTTCAAGAAGAACTTGATTGCTTCTCGAGCAGTTCTTTTTCTAAGATGCTGCTAAGCCGCCCTTGCCCAAGCAACTTTTATCTGTCTCCTAAGAATTTTGCTGAGTCATGTACTCCCTTGTGAATGTATCAGTCTGAATGCTATGATGTGATCTCCTCCAAGTAGCCAAGAATAAATGGAATCTTAGTATTCTCCCGCCAGAGACCAGCAAATGCACTGATAAATCATTCTGGTGGCTTGCCTTTTTCAGTGCTAAGACAAGAACACATCAGATTCACACAATGGCATTGTTCAGGGATGGAACGATGACTAGTGAAGAATAACAAGCCTACAGCTCCATCTGGTGAGTCAGCGAGCCAGTGACCTTGGCATACTGGAATTAAAATAATAAAAAAACCCCCAACACTTAATTGAATTACTCACACAATCTGCATTTCCAGGATTTATTTGCAGAATAGAAGAAATGAGTAGGACACTAATTCTCACAAACAAATCCTTAGGAGATACTTCTCAGGCCTGTTCTATTTTCAGTTTTACTCACTGGCAAAGCCCAGAAAGTAATTTTAGAAGAAACCTCTGTGCTATACTAAGTGAGATTCCACTAGATAGTCCCTCTGTGCTAAAAACATTATAGTAAAGTAGCAGAACTAATTTAAAAAAAGAAGGGAAAAAAAAATCCTACTTCTAGTTCTAGCATCAGAGATTTAATTAGTTCTGGACAACAGAAGATAGGTCAATGAAAATATTTAAATGATGAGAACAGACATTGCAAATATCCTTTCTGCTATTCTCCTTTGCTCAGCAGGAGGAAGATATATTAGACACGTTTGTTTCTCAACTCAGAGAGCATGTAGCGTTCTTATACGCAGTGCTTTTCATCTTCAAAGCCTTTAATGAAGATTAATTAATTCTCACATCACCAAGAGAGGTAAGCCAGGCATACTCATGTTGTAGGAGAAAAACGTGTCCAGTACTAACACAGGCTCAACATCCAATAATGGAATTACAACATATTGTGCCTGCTACTCCTGCATTTGGATGCTATTAATTCTAAGTTTAAAATAACTTCATGAAATGTTCACTTTTCACCAGTGACATATCGCAACATTCTCTCATGAAGTATTTTCTGACAGTACCTATGGTTCAGAGTAGCACGCTAGATACAACACTTGTCAACACTGTAGTCTCAGCTGCAGGACCAAAGGATGAAGAAATCACTCACAAAATGTTATTTTTGCTTTGAATCTTAATTTTCAGTTACCAACTTCTCTCCTGTGCTTATGCAACGGCTGAGAAAGATTTAGTTCAGCATGAGTAGAAGGTGAATTTAGTTTTACGTGTATCATCATTTTATCTATCTGGGCTTCCTTCTTTGTTCCTTGCTATAAAATGCTAATAACTTCTCGCCTCCACTCTTCCCCCCTCTCCAACTTCACTAACTCTTAAGTACAACCCCAAGCTACTGCTTTTTCTTTCACTGTGCTGGATTTGACATGGTAGATACCTTTGTTCTACGATAGATGCGTATTTTACAGACCCCATCCCTTCTCCAGAGTGCCACCTACACAGGAAGTACCACACTGCTATTCAGGGTAAACGTATTAATGTAAATCCAGATCATGCTATTTTAGCTATAACCAAGAGGTTTCAACTCCAAAAATGTTCTGTTGCTATTTGCAACAAATAGTTGTTCTAAAACATCTCTTCCCTAATTAGCATGCTTGTAAGGAACATCTCTCAGCAAAGGGCAGGTGTGCAGTAATTTCAGAAGAATAAAAAGGTGCATTTCTTCCACTACTTTCTCAATTTCATATTACATGGAAAGAAAGCTCTCATCCCTGGTTTTATACAATCTTTCCTTCTACAGTCAGAAAGAGAAATTTAAAAGTACACAGCATGTCATTATGGATTAGAGACATACAAGCTCTTCTTGGCCAGCTAAAATAGGCAGAGGAATTTGCAACATTACTGTACTTAAACAGCACGATAAGACCAGAAGAGGAAGGGTATGATCCATTAATGGAGCAGTGCTCTGACATTCTAACTATTTTTAGCCTACTCTAAAAGCAGAGCTAGAAATGGTTTCATTACTGACCCACTCAAAATAGCATATACCGTCTTAGAGCTCAATTTTTAAAATCAGTTTATAGCATTGTCTTATTTCTTCCTCTCCACCCTCATATCACAAAACATTTGTTAAATCACTTTTGTTATACTGAGATGACTAGAAGTGAGCAGTGTCCCATGAATTAAAAGAACATCTTGAATACAGGAACAAAGTCCTGTATGTCTTGATTTGTCAGTATTTCTTGATACTGACAAATATAAAACCATCACCATAAGGTAAGCAGACTCAATTTGAATAAACCATTCTGGTTTTAATCTGACAACTATTAGACTTCTTACAGTCTATGAAAGAGTAACAAAAATCTAATGCCTAATGGTTTCTTAGCTCTTTAATAGACTAGAATTTTTGAGTTCTAAGTTAACAGGTTGAAGACAAAGTGTATGCTCCATTTTGTTTTTTTTTTTTTCTTGTAGTGTGGATAGGTATTATGAATACATGGTGTGAGAGGAGACAGAAAAGAAATAATCTATGCCCGTAGTAAAAATTTTAAAAGGCTGATTTATAAATAAGACTGCAGTATGAAAAAGTCAGTATAGTAGAAAAGATAAGGCCAGTAGTCCTATTCCCCAAGCTACACAGCATGAAATTAGTAACTAGGAATTTTGAAGACACAATTAATTTAATACTGATATAAAGAAGAAAGGAAACAGGTATGCAATTAGCCAATGAAACCGACTACTGCTCGTTATTACTGAACCATCCTGAGTCAGAGCAAGCAGTAAATACTGACTGACTGTAGGGAGGTCACTGTAGGAAACATGTAGAGTGTTCCCCAGTTGTCCCTTTAAAGGACACAAAAAAGAAAAGGCTGCTTGATGTGGCAGTTCCCATCCTGGGCAAGGAAACAGAAATAAGCCTGGTCTTCACCCAGAAAAATCACCTCTGGGGTTTAATTTCACGAAATGTATCTAGCTATACAGAACTCTCTCCTGCCACTCCCACCCCCCCCCAAACCACACTACCCCAACAACTAGAAGTAAAACATTGTATGTCCTTTGTGATTTTTGATTAGTGAACTGAATATACCCAACCAGATCTGGGCTTACATGTGTTACCAATACAACAGTGTTTCTGTTTAAAATAGCATTAAGATTTTCAATCTAGAGCTACATTAAAGCACAGATAAAAAGGGAACGCACACATCACAGTGCGGTAACTCACAGGTACACATTTACACATGAAGTCAGGCATACTGTAAACAAAGCTCCCTCTCCCAACATCGCAATGACTCACTTCATCTGTATGTCAAACACAGTCAAGACACGATTTATTTTAATAGAAAGGAAATGTCTCCTATTCCATGTGGTACGTAACGATGCTCATTTCTATTTAATGATACCGTGCAAGCAATCCAAGAAGTTGAGTGTACTGCAAACTGCTTTGTAAGCACACCTGTGCTGCCCTACTGGAAGTAAGCTGCGTATGTGCTCATTCCATTCTACGTTAATAACCAGCAGTAGTAAAGAAGTGAGAGAGACGCTGTAATTCAATACAAGTCTCGGGAGACGTTATATTCTGGTACTTAGGACTTTATCATATATCCAGTACAAGCACTCCTAAATACAGACATTATTTCTTCCTTGCTCAAGTTTTTTCCTCAACATTTGCTCTTGACATTTTTTCTAGTATGACTTCAAAACAAAAATAAAAGAGCATTTAATATCAGACTATTTCATGTCAATCACAACAGCAAGAGGTACAAATACTCTTGGAAATACAGTGTGCATCAAGATTGGGCTCTGAATGGCTTTACTACCACACACTGTGTATTGCATAAATCCACACTAAACACAACACTGCATACAATTCATTTTACAAGCGAGTGCATCTGTGCATTTGTATATATGCTTCTCCATTCCTTGAAGCTCCTACACTCAAACTTTAGGCACCTGTGTGCATGAAAAAGAAGCTTTAGAAAATACAGTACTTCAGTTAAGAGTGAGCGAAGAGATGCATTGGGGCTCTCAGAAAATGGCGCTCTGGTGGGATACAAGACAAGGCTTAAATGAATCACACTCAATGTCAATGCAAACCACATATGCTACAGAGTCTGCAGAGGGCTCTGAAATACACGTGAAGACAGCTATTATCACTGGAGTTACCCCTCTAAAAACAACTCTTTATTGCAACAGCTCCGAACAGTGACACAATTTTGTGCCATCTTGACAGACAGACCCAGAGTTCGGGAAAGATACTTTGACTAGACAAGAGCAGGAATTCTGCCTCCCTCACATTATGTGATTTAGCTTGGTGGTTAGGGTTTGGGAATCTAAAGCACCTAAGATGTCCTCTGATGCTTTGAGAAACTTCAAAAAAATACTACGGTGCTCTGTTCTAGGGCTTCAGTTTGCCTTCCTTCACTAACTGCTCATTGAGCTGGCAAAGCTGCCTTAGAAAGCCATCATTGGGGCCAATCTCTCGCTTCTGCCGGACAGTGCTCAATGCAGACTTGACATCCATATTCTGGCGAAGCATGAGGTAGGCGATGACCAGTGTAGGAGAACGGCTGTAGCCCTCACGGCAATGCACAAACACTTGTCCTGCAGGGAAGACAGGTCACAATTTGGGTTATACTGTAATATATGTTTGAAAAGCAACATGAAATAGCTAGGATATAAAGCATAATAATATTAGTCCTCCAGCAGCTTGAGAAATGTAAATTCTGAATGCTACAGAAGACTTTCAGACCTTGGAAGAAAGGTGCTATCACTCTGTCAGTAGCCACAGTCTGTCATCAAAGGATAATGCGGAAAAAAAAATGGCTATCAAACATTCACACTAAAACATATTTGCTATTATATTACAGAGGCAAACTGTGTCTATTTACTACACCTCTCCAATCTTTTGTGGTTTAGAATAAGCCTTGCCCCTGAAGATGACCAGTACCAAAGAGCACAAATAAATGATGCAAAGTTTAAAATAAGACAGAGAAATATGTTGTTTGTCCTATATTGCATCTCTTCAAATATATCCAGCCTTTTTTTTTGCTGCCAATTCCTACGCTAACTCCGTGTCGGATTTGGATCATACCTGGCTACTTCTCTGGCTATTTATGAAGCTACATTAACACTCAAGTAAATGAAACGGCTGACTGCGCAGCAACAAGAACCAGAAACATCTAATCACACCTATGCCAGCACCAATAAAATGCTTCCCACTAACTGATTAGGGAACTCATTCTACGTATTTGTTGGGTTGTATCGGG